CTTTGTGAATATACCCCAGGGTGTTCAGAATGCTTTCAGATTCAAGGTAATTTCAGCTTAATAGTTTCTCCCATTTCTACTGCTATAGAATCATCTCAAAACAAGCATGCTTGATCTGTTTGTTCACAGTAAATTTTCATTAGAAACGGATTTGGGAGGGTGGACAGGGGCTCCAGAAGGCCAGACTCTTACTCATCCCTGCCCCCTGTGGCTTTTGCTGTCACCTCTCTTTGCAGGCCCGTCTTGAGCTTGATTTCTCTGGGCAATGTTGTACAAAGGAAATTAGCTCAGTATGTCTTCTACTGAACTCCATCTGTAGCTCAATGTTCTAAGGTACTTGTGAATGTGGTTACAGAGAAATTTTGGTAAGAGGAGGCAATGTTCCAATGTCTGAGAATATTTCTCCTGTTTTTTTTTTTTTTTTTTTTTTTTGTTTTTTTTTTTTTTTTTTTTTTTCACTGAGCACCCTGGAAATCCACCCACGCATGAGCAATCTCCTGCAATATTCAGAGTGCTTTTCAGGTGTCACAGACATAATAACAGGTGCTTCCTCTGGGGAGAAAAAACCACATGTCGAGGAGAGAGTGGCAGAAAGCAAACTGTTGGGATATTCTGGGTACGCCGTCCCTGAAGTGAATCATCCCCATATGCCTGCTTGCTGTGGGTCCCTTGGCAGAGGAAATGATTTGTGTGGACGGAGGCGGAGAGATACATTCTGGTGGCAAACTTCAGTGGAGCCCATCCTTGGCTAACCCAACTGATGGTTAGGTATTTGTCGAGCCACTCTGCCATAAATACCAAAGTGCAAAGTGTGAACATACACTTGATACCTGCATTTCTTCTTCTTGTAATATATGCATAATCTTGCATGAAAATCAGGCAATACTTGTTTAAGGCAAGATAGCTTAAGGCATAGATAGATTTTAAATCTTAGCTTGTAAGAACGCAGAGACTAGGGGCATTTGCAAAAGGTGGCCTTTGGATTCACGTTTTGAAAAAAAAATGCACCCAGCTTAAACACAAGCACTCGCTTCACTGTGAACACTTGCAACTTGGAAGATGGAAGTCTGGACTAGTGAAAATGACTTCATTTACAGATGGACATGTAGCAAACCGCGTATAAGTCTAGCTGTCTCATCAGTCGTGTGTTAAATAAAAAGCCTCTCGCACTGAAAAGCTAGATACGGTCGTTCTCATCTCTAAAACAAAATCACCAAGGGCTATTAGGGAAACATGTGTGCAGAGAGGTTGCTAATGGAAAACTTGACTTATTTGATTGGAAGTCATTGACACTGGGAACATAAGGACACATAGTTGTAAGCTAATTAATTTGGTCCGCTGTGAACTGTACGGTGGCATCATTTTCTTGCCCTGCCAGCTTAGGGAAATTAAAAAAAAAAATCTTTCTGCCTCAGTTTGTTTATTTCATATTTTTCTATGGCAAGGATGATGGGAATTATCTGTTAGGGATCGTGTGCAGAGAAAGCACACTGAGTGAGGCCCTGCTCACAGTAAACTTTCAATAAACTTCCTTCCCCTCAAGTACCATGAGAATGGGACTTCGTTTGTTTACTTAGTGCTGTGTTTCTAGCATCTGTTTTGTTCGCAAGGAGGGCCACCAATATTTCCTGAATGGCTTAGTTAAAGTAACTGAATTTTGGAAGTCAGAGGAAAATTGTCTTTGGACTGGGGATGCAGCCCAATGGTAGAGTGTTTGTCTAGTGCACACGAGACCCCAAGAATTTGATTCCCAGTGCAGAGGACGGGGTGTGAAAAAAAGGAAAAAGAAAAAACAAAACAAAACAAAACAAAACAAAAAAACAAAAAACCACTGACCTGAAAAATTTGCCCTAGGTTTCATAGCTGGGGAGAAAAACCAAATAGTTTTCAGTGTAGGGCCACTTAGGGATGTAAGAGAGATCCCTAGAGTCTTTTAATTCTTTAAGTGTTTGAATGAAGACTTTCTTTCTAGCTTAGCTGGGCATAGTGGTGCACATTTGCAGCCTCAACATTTGATAAATTGAGGCAGGGATTGCTGAGGGTTCAAGGCCAACCTGTGTTAAGTAGTGAATCCTTGGGGGGGGGCGGTAGATGTTCTTAATCTGTAAAATGGAAATGAATCGACGACTTCAAGAGGGTTCTGAGGATTAAAGCGCATGTAACAATTCTCAGTGAAACAGAAAAACACCATGCTGTTCATTGTTACATTAGTGAGTTTGTACAGTGAGTAACAATAAAATCATTCTTTCGTGTTGTAGAAAGAACCTTTAGCTAAAGACTTAAGCACTAAAAATATTCAACCCCAGAGGTACCACAGACATAGACTAATTTTTTCCATCTGTGCAGTTTAGGGTCGATTTGGCATACACTCAATACCAGGAAAGAAAGAAACTATGGTTTAATCTGCTTTTAGAGGAGAGAAAGAGAGCGAGGGAGGGGAGAGGCAGAAAAGGAAAATATTTCCTTTTATGAGCATGAATGTTAAAATATAGAGCCTTCATCAAGTAATTCAGGGCTGAAGCAAGAACATGCAATCCATTTCCTCCCGACCTCTGCAACCTACACTTGGTTCTTTTCTATACCATGGTTTATACATATATTATGGTCACTGCCTTCATACCAAAGGGAAGTAAATATAGATTATTCTTAATCAGTCCTATGTGACTCAGAGGTCAAAAGATCAGTTCTTAATAGGATAACCTCCATAAAATACTAATATTTAAGGACCTATTTTTTCCTTTTTTATTCCTCTCCCTCTTTCTCTCTCTCTGTTTCCTCCCCCCCCCAGGGGTTATTAAAAACATTATAGTTTTAAGTTCGGGTCCCACCCAAGATGCCTCAACAGAGCCTGGGGATGGGAAACTGGCTTGAGGAGAAGCTAGAGTGGCAGAAGAGTCCAAGGTAAATGAGCTACTGGCTCATTGTCCCTTCCGTGAACCTCAGCAATGGTGAGATGGGAATGAGAAGGAGTCAGGGCCCCTGCATATCCGGGGCTCTGAAAGACAAAAGATTCAGAGAGCTTCGAGATGTACGTGGGTTTAGAGGGTGAAGAAATACCATTTCCAGCCAAGTTATGCCCTTCAAGGAAGGAACGTTAGAGAACTAAACTTGATTATACTTTAAAAGAACTATTGTCCCGAGTCTGGTCATTTTATTCCCCTGGTCACAAAGGTCAGTAACCACATTACTTCTGGGTGAAGTCTAAACTAGACAGCCACAAACTGTGCTTTATCTTGAATTAGTCCTTAGTATTTCCTCACGAGGTATGGAGACCACTTGTAATTTCCCAAGGAAGCAAGATAATTTTACCCCTTCATCCGTTTCTTCGTATGTTCTCCATCCTAAACTCTCAACCCAGCTGGCAAACTCCTGTGCACAAAGCGGGTCCCAAGTATAATTTCTTCTTTAAGGGTTTCTCAACTCCCACTCTTTCTTATTACTTGGGGTAACTGTGCTTTGTCTCTGGAGCCATAGCACTTTAAGCATGCCCATGTTAACTCACTTGCTGCCAGGAATTAGAGTTTACCCCCAAGCCCTGGGGTCTCCCGAGTCAAGTGTGAGCAGACACACGACAGAAGAATAATAAACACTGCCGAATAGAATATTAAAAGACACCAAATGCATACATGATTTTAAACCTACGAATTATGCCAGGATGCCAGGACCAGAACCAAATGCTTATCTACACACGTACATGATTCCGCTTTGGTCTCTCCAGACTGTGTAAAAGGGGTGGTTTCATGATAGAGCCTTTGTCTAGCAAGCCTGAGGCCCCGGGTTCAATGCCCAGTACTGAAGGAAAAAAAAAATTAAAAAGAAAGCATTATGAATGTATTTCTCTGGATAAAAATGAATTCATTTGCTACCAAAAATGGGCTCTCCTAGAAAGGAATCATAGGAAAGTCGCTGAGTAATCTTAAATCATGTCCAGCTGCAATGGAATATTTGGGTTTATTCCAGTCAGTGTGCCTCTGTCTGGCACTGCCTCTTCTCAGGGAATGCAAGGCAAACAGCACATCAAGGCCTAAGACGAATGGGAACTGACAACTATCGAAGGTTAGCCATGAATTTTAACATTCTCGATCCCCGCTCTAAACGCTTTTTCTTTAACTGAGTAAGTTAATTGAAGAATATAGAATGTGCCATGGGCTTCGTTTTTGTTGTTTTAAAGCCTATCCAAGTACCTACTTTTTTTTTTCTTTTCCAGTACAAGATTAAAGAGCAAGCCAGGCCTGGGTTGTAGTGCTAGCTACCGGGGAGGTTGAGACAAAGGATTACAAATTTAAGGCTTGCCTGTTGTATGTAGTGAGTTCCAGGCCAGCCTGGACACAGTGAGACCCCATCTCAAAAACAAACACAATGCAAAAAGGGGGGAAACTCTGTTATAACGTGCGGTGGTTAAACAATCACTTCTTTAGTTGTTTTCCTATCATATGTTTTGGACCTAGAATACTCAACTGGAATTTGCTAGTTCACAGAAAAATACCTACGGAATGGATAGCTTAAAGGTGAAAGTTGGTTGTATCTGGCTCTCAAGGCATAATATCTGTAATGGCTTTAGGAGAATGTAAATAATTAGCATTGCTAAACAACATTCATTGATAACTTTCTGACAAACTCATGTCTAACACCATTTTCCACATTAAACAGACATTACCAATACAGCATATGAGAACGAGTACCCATGGAAACCTGACAGCCTGCTCTTTTTTTTTAAATCCTTATTAAATTCAATTGAGCTGCATATTTTGTGTAGCTGATATAGGAGTGGGTATTAATGTTCTCATTCAGAATCGTATTATCTAGCATCAAGTTGTAGAAAAACCTCTCCTTTTGGAAGACAGCTGAGACAGCTGAAATTTTCTCTTAGAAGTCAAGAATATACCAATCCTGGGCAGAGGGGAATGGGAGAAGGAACAGTAGAAATAGAAGAAAAGAATTGGCTTGAGTTAAATTGAGATAATTAATTTAAATCACAAATAAAATAGTAAATGCTCCATTTTTAAAAAAAACACTGGCAAATCTTTATTGGCAATGTTAAAATCAGCTGATTAAATATTTTAAATAGAAAAACTATAAAACATTACATATCCATCATAATCCATTCATCGAATATACTCTTCTGCTGAAATTTCTAACAGATCTTCATCTGTACATTCTTCTGTCTCTGGCAAGTTGCCCCAAAGTAGGAAGTTTACACCTGAAAATAAGAGGCCGTAAAATTCTTTAGTGCTTACTACTACAATTCAGAATATGACATGAAACTTTATATGCCAAGCTTCTCTTATGAACTATGGCATAACGAGACAATGGCAGGGAAGGATGTCTTACAAATAAAACCATCTAATGCTATCCATCTAAAACATGAGCATTCTTTTAAGCAAGAGCTTGAATGTTAGACTCTCAGAGCTCAAAAGGAACTCTGGAGTTCCATCTGCTCCAACCCTGCCTCCAGCTACCCAATGACATTCATACTCTACATTTTGAAAAACACCACACACACACACACACACACACACACACACACACACACACACACACACAGAGATTCTTTTAGATCGAGTGCCTTTTTATCTGATCAAGACAAGAAGGGCCTGGTGGCATAGCTATAATCCCAGCTGTTGGAGGTGACTGAGGCAGAAGGATTGCAAGTTCAAGGCCAGCTGAGACAATGTCTCAAGAAGTAAGGCTTCAAATAGTAAGCTAGCTGAGTGGTGGAGTCCTTGCCTAGGAAGTGGGAGGCCCTAGGTTTAATCTCAGTACATTGAGGTTAAAGCAGCCAGTTATAATTCGGTTTCCTAAAGGCTGTGGGCTTTAGATTACATGCTATAAAGGTGGAGCTGTAGACTTTAGGGAGTCACTATAACAAAGTAATCTAAAACAGCACTGATGGAGAATAACCAGATTTCATATCAAAGAACCTGCACAGGTGTATAGGACTAGGCCAAATATACTGAGGATAATGAGATGACTAAAAGTCATAAATTAGGAGAGAATAAAAAGCTGTCTTGAGACCATCTCAAGCTGTTTAGCTGGTGGTATGAGCAAAAGGAAGACTCACCAGCTCTGTGTTTCCACTCTACACTGGGATAGAGGCCACACGGTGGCATAGAATGAACCAGGGCTTGGAGACTGGTTTGAATTCAGCTTCTGCCACATCAGCATTTTTACTACAAGTATTCACAACTGTAGAAATAGCTACTACTGTTTTGTTATCTAAAATTGAGTTTGTTTCTTAAGTTCTAGCCTCTACCTCATTATGTAGCTGAGGATGACCTTGGACTCTTGAATTTCTACTTTGCAAGTGTTGAGATTACAAGCATGTGCCACTACATCTGCCTAAAATTTTTATAGAGTGGCATTATACCACACATATTTTTTGAATTTATCTCATTCATGTTATTTCTAAGTGGCTAAGATGTTAGGAATGGTACTATACTGTACGTATTTTTCTAAGTAATCTCGTTCACCTTATTTCTGAGTTTTGCCTGTTTGACATGTGGTATGGATTTAGCTCATTTACTTTTTTTTCTTCTGTAGAGCGTTTCATTGGAAATCTTTTGTTTTTAATTTAACCAGCGGGAAGCATATGTATGCGTGCTGTGTAGTATGGGGAGAGAATGGAGACTGCCTTGTTGAGGCAGGGTCTTTGTTTCATATACCATGCCAGTATGTGAACTGCCAAGCAATTCTCCACCTCCACCTCTCGCTGGGATGGAACTCAGTCCATCAGCCTTGTGCAGAAAATGCTTTCACCTGCTGAGCCATCTTGAGCCATCTTGTCTGTTTAACTCTTTTAAAATATGTTGGAAATATGGCCTGCTGTTTCTCGGCCTGATGTGCCTCAGCACCAAAAGAGACAGGAACATGGTTGGAAGGAGTGGGAATAAACAAGTTTACCTTGTTTGACAGAGACATTGCAATCTAATCAGGCAAGGAGTTAGTCCTTATTTGAAGTGACAGAATACATAGATATTTTCTATAGTGGCTTCATGTCTGAATTGCTTAGGATAAAAACATTTCCTAATTCCCATCCCAGGAATAAATGGGGATCTGCTTGTGGGAATCCGTGCTGAGGGGCTGACCAGACAGCAAGGAGTTGTTAGGCCAAATCAAAATGAAAATTAGAATCCATAAAGGAAAATGGAGAGCCCCATACCTTTGGGATGTTCTAGGGAACCTGACCTGAGATTTCCCAAGTGTATTTGGGAAAGCTCTGGGAGATTGGGTTTCTATGTGTAGGCTAACACAGCCTTCTTAGAGAACTTTCATGCTGAATATTCTAGAATGTTGTACAACTCCCGCATCCATTCCTTTGGTGTAAATTATTCAGGTGACTCAAGGACAGTTCCATAGCCATTAGAATGCTCCCTTTGACAAGCATCTAGGAAATAAATCTTACTTTAAATCACAATATTAAGAGTTACTAAGGAGAAGTTCGAGTTATTTGGAGTTTGAACTCAGGAACTATGAAGCAACTTAGCACAATCAGTTCAAAGGAGAACAAATGAGGGGACTGGATCTGACTGAAGAGTCATCTTCCTCTCTGTTGAGGAGGAGGGAAATCCTGTGCTACATCTGTTTCTCATGGATTAGAGTCAGGGCAAATGAAAGAATGCCCTTTTATGTTTGAAAAATTGACCAATATTTTAAAGTAAATCAAAACTGAAAAAATCTCCACCCTGTGTTTTGAATCTGGTGAAGCAGGAAAAACAGTATCAAAGCAGAAACTCTCTTTAATGTGTCCCATGGGAGACAGATCTTCAGTGAAAAGCCTAAAGTAGGAGCCTGTATTTTACTTAGGGGAGTTAGAGGGGTCCTTGCTTGAAAATGGCCATCTTAACATACATAGTTTTAAATTAAAAAGCCAAAGTGATGGATTGAGAGCCACTGTTGAATCCCAGGCTATTTAAATAATAATAATAATCAGTCTTAAAATCACATGCATAATTGGAGGGTTTAAAACCCTTGACAACCTAGCTTGACATTCATGATCTCTTGGTCTATAAAGCATCTCTCTCTGTCTCTGTCTCTCTCACACACATACACACTACACTGTAAATAAGATCTAATAAAGATTTTTAAAATCTATAATATACTTTTTTTTTTTTTTTTTGGTTTTTCAAGACAGGTTTTCAAGACAGTCCTTGCTGTCCTGGAACTTGCTTTGTAGACCAGCCTGGCCTTGAACTCACTGAGATCCACCTGCCTCTGTCTCCCAAGTGCTGGGATTAAAGGTGTGCACCACCACTGCCTGGCTATAATATACTTTCCTTCTATATGTATGTCCACACATGTATGTGTGCAGAGGTCAGAGGAGGACACTGAGTGTTTTGTTGTATTACTCTCTCTACTTATGTCCTTGAGACTGTCTTTCACTGAACTTGAAGCTTGCTATTTTGGCTAGGTTGATTGCCAGGGAGGTCCTGTTTCTGTCCCCCAGTGAAGGGGGTTATGGGTACACTCAGTCATGCCTGGCTTGTTCATGGGTGATGGGGGTCTAAACTCAAGCCTTCAGCCTTGTGCCTTACCCACTGAGTTTTCTATCTCCCTAGGCTCCAGCACTTTCTTACTAACATAATTTGCATAGCATATATTAAATATTAAACATTTTCCTTAAATATAATTCTATTGTAACATAAATGTACATAAGTATAAATATAAATAAATAACTTAAATTTATTAGCTTTTGTTTTATGCATATGTGTGCTTGCCTACTTGTCTGCATACTCACCACAAGCATCCAGGTGCCTGTGGAAATGAGAAGGTATCAGACTTCTGGAACTGGAATTACAGACAGTTATGTGATGCCTATTGTGGATGCTGAGAACTAAACCCTGGTCCTCTGCAAGAGCAGCAAGGCTCTTAACCACTAAGCCCTCCCTCTAGTTCCTGAGATGTATTTATTTCAAAGAATCACCAGAAAGAGGCTACTCAGCTCTTCCCATCCCTCACTTCCCTGGCAGGCCCCTTTCCTCCTTTCTTTCCACACATGTATGTATGCACACATGCCCTTGACTATCCATATGCTGTCTTTAAAAGCTCTCTGTAATCAGGGTATGTGACGGAGGCAGCCTGGGCTGCCTAGTGTGACTGTTCCAACAACAGCGAAGCCCAGGACATTCAGAGAAGTCTGAAGCCTTCCCTCAATTCAGCAGTAAGTGGCGATGAGTTTTGGCTGACAGTTTCATAACTGAATGTGTGCATGAAAGCAGACCAGGGTTTTACTCTTGCCGACCCAAGGTTTCACTCTAGCTGATAAGGTTTCAGGGGGTTCCACTCAGGTACTGACACAGAACTGTTACAAGGAAATGTATACACCAGTTGTTTCTTACCAGTGGAGTCTAGTCTGTTAATGCCATAAACCGCCTGGCTGTGAAACATCCAGAAATGTCCATTGTTGCAGGAAAGAAGGCAGGAACTACATGGAACAATCACATGATAGCCTACAATGTTCCCACTTTAAAAAGAAAGAAAAAGTAACTGTTAGTAGATAACACCTGTAGTAGTAGGTAGCAGCTGGCCACAGAAGCATCTGTCTGCTATTGTAAACAGACCCTGAAGTTTCAGCTTCCTCTGAGTGGCCTGTTGCTGGCTGTGACAGGGGAGCTTACTCTGACAGTACCCACAATACCCACAGTCTTTGAGGCAATACTAATGTATTTGCACATTTCTTTGCTCTACTATTTCATTCATACTCTTTGGAAGTTAGCTTTGGGATGTGATTTCTTATGGAAAGTACTCAAAACTGATGTGCTATACATAGAAAATATGTTAAATAAATTCATATCTATGGGTAAAGAATTTCCATAGCTTAGGGACTATGACAAGGTGAGTTTTTATAGGCTCAAACTCTTAAAAATTGCTTCAACAAAGTGGGAGGTAGGTGAGGGGTGAGGGCATGGGTCGTTTAGACTAAACGTAAGATGGTAACTCCCATTTAGTTGCAGTGGTTTTGGAGGAATTCAGAAAGGAAGCAAATCTCCAGCCCACAGAGAGTTGAAAATGGGTTGATTGTCTTCAGCAGATCACCAAGTTTCTCTTTTCTTTTCATGAGTCTTGTGCTAACTATAGTGAACACACAGGGAATGTTTTGTTCCTTTTTTTTTAAATGGCACCATACGTTGCTAATAGCTTGATGGTGGAAATTCTTTTTCCCTTCCTTCTTTCCTTTTTCATTCATTCATTCATTCTTTCTTTTTTTTTCTTTTTGTTTTTCAGACAGGGCTTCTTTGTGTAGCTCTGGCTGTCCTGGAACTCACTCTATAGACCAGGCTGGCCTTGAACTCACAGAGATCCGCCTGCCTCTGCCTCTCAAGGTTTGTACCACCATCACCCTGCAAAAAAAAATTCTTACTATAGCTCTGTACCTTGTGAGATTTGGGAGCCAGTTACTTCTGGGAGCTCTACAAAGGCTACTATAATGAATGCCGGCATGCCTTCTAATCACAACACACTCAGCAGGCAAGTGAGTGAAAACCAAAGTTGCTCTTGGGCCAAGACTGACAGTTATTTGTAAGGCTAAGCTCCAAGAATTTACACATTTCACTACCACCTACTTTCATTCATTTACCCATCCACTTACTCATGGAATTAATATCTGTTGAGCATCTACTATATGCTGGGCATTGTTCTGGTGCTAAGAATCTATGGACAAAACCAAGCCCCTGTTTTCATGTCACAAACATCTCAGTGGGGTTCTATTGATTGGCTCATTCTGCTCCTTTGCCAACCCCTTTAATGGCTTCTCACTGGCCAAAAAGTTTAACATTTTCAAAGAACATGTTAAACTTTTTCCTGCCATGGATCTTTGCATGTACCATTCCCTCTGCCAAGTATATTCTTCTTATACTTAGGGCTCAAACCCAGTGTTTACGTCTTTGTGAGACAGCTTCCTTCACGGTGGTATCTAATACAACTCTTACTTGCTTTCTCGGTTTCTGATATTCGCTATCAGATGCTGTTATTTTCTCTGTAGTACTTCCCACTATAGTAAATATCTTATTTAACCTACTGTCAGACTGAATGATCATGTTTCCACCAGACTATTCAGTGCAGGGGCCAGTAACTGTCTCATGGATATCTTGGGTTTCCACCCCTGAGAGCAGTGACCGGCACACAGTAGGTCGTCAGTACCTACTGCGAACTGGAATTGGAAAGTTTAAACAGCCACCAACACATTATGATCTGCTAATTTGTAAACCAACCCCATTTAAAAACTCCCAACTTCTGTCTGTGATGAAGTGACACAAACTCGCTCACCTCTCAAAGGATAACAGTAATAGCTCTCACCTATGTTTCACTTACATTTCACGAAGACTTTTAACGTTAGCAATTCATTTCTAACTCACAACTTTAGAGGCTAAATGCTCTTTAATTCCTATCTTCATAAAAAATAGGAATATTAAGAGAGAAATGGAAGAGCCAAGCATGGTGGCGTATGTGTGATCCCAGCACTTAGGAGAGGCTGAAGCAGGATGAATTGGAGGCCGATTCCAACTCTATAGGAAATTCACACCATGACTGTCTACATAAGGAGATTGTTTAAAAAAAAAATATGAAGGAAGGGAGGGATGGAGGGAAGCAGGGAAGGGTGAGGGAGAGGAAGGGGTGACGCTAGAAATTAAATAAGGAGTTGGGGTATGGCAGTCCATGTCTATAATCCCAGAGCTCAGTGGCTGAGGCAAGAGGGTTACCGGAAATTAGAGGTTATCCTGGGTTGTATATATAGTGCCGTGTTATACTCCTTCTATATATGTCACTATGATCGGTTTAATAAACAAGCTGACTGGCCAATAACTGAACAGGGTAAAGTTAGGCAGGAAAGCCAAACTAAGAATAAAGGGAGGAGTTACCAGCCAGACAAAGAATGTATCGGTCACACAAAATGGGATAGAGGTAAAAGCCATGAGCCTGGGGGCAGCACAGAGACGAATAGAAATGGGTAAGTTATAAGAGCTAGTTAGTGACAAGCCTGAGCTATTGGCCGAGCATTTATAATTTATATTAAGTCTGTGAGTCAGTTATTTGGGTAGCAGCTGCCGGCTATTTAGGAAGCAGACAGTTGGGATAGGAAAACTGCCTAGAATATAGTGAGTTCAAGACCAGCTTGAGTTACAGAGAAAGATCCTGTCTCAAAAGAGAATTGTTTTTTTTTTGTTTTTTTTTTTTTTTTTTTTCCCCAGGAACTAAGTTTTAGGGCTTTAGAGGTTTGAGGTGTTTAATCAAGAGCATGCAGAGAACAAGGACAGGCCAGAGTTCAGGTGTGATGTGGTATAATCAGTGGCATGATTATGTGCATGTGTGTAAAAAAAACACAAGTCAACTTGGGGTGTAGATCTTCAGGAGCCTTCTGCCTTTTCTGAGAGGGGTCTCTCACTGAAATCTGAGGCTTGTTAGTTGGGCTCAGCAGGCTGGTGAGGGAACCCCACAGATGCTCCTGTCTCCAGCTGGGACTGTAAGTGCATGCCACCACACCCAGCTCAAGTGCAGATCCTATTTCTGCTGCAAGCTCTTTACCAGTCGAGCTGTCTCCTCTGCTCCCTGATTTATGAGTGCAAATCCCATTGTTACCTCTTAGATTACATAGGATTATTGGGGAGCAGATATTTGTGTACACACTTTGAAGAACTACAAATAGTATTTGAAAACTATTACAAAGACTCTTTTAAAACAACAATTCTAGGACTGGCAAGATGACTCAGTGGGTAAAAGCTCTTGCTTCTAAAGCCTGAGGACCCGAGTTTAATTCCTGGTAAGAGAGAACCAATTCCCACAAGTTGTCCGCTGACCTCTACACATGTGCCACGACACACACACACACATGCTATATATACCCATATCCATGCACATAGATAAATAGATACATAAATAAATATAATTAAAAAATAGATCTAAGACACAAATTTTCTTTCAGTGGCTCATTATCTGAGTTACATCAATGCCAGATACAGCTTTCAGAATCTTCTGTGGGTTTTGGTGTCAATATCTACCTTCCAAATTCAGGTTATCTACAACAGTGCCACAAATTACCATTTTAAACATGCGACGTCCTTCAGTTTACATTTGCAGATTCCAGTGAAATAGCATCTTCCAATGAAATCCACAGTGCTGGAGGATAAAAAAGAAGTTTACAGACAGTCAAATATACTAAAGATTTGAATTCTGAAAAAAAGATAAAAACTTGCCTTATATTCCCACTTTAAAAGAAATGTGTGTGTGTGTGTGTGTGATTATGGGTGGGACTTAGGATCTTACAAATGCTAGGCAATCACACTACCATTGCTCTACCACTGACCTATATTTCTAGAATTCTATCTTACAGAACAGAAACTAGACTCTAAAATATAACTATAGCACATTTTTGTAAGGGTTGGGTAATAATTTGTGATCACCATAAACATTTGGCAAATTTTCTACTAAAAAACAATCTTTGATAGCTGGAGAGATGGGTCAGTGTTTAAGCTCCTGCAGAGGACTGGAGTTCAGTTTGCAGCACCCACATCATGCAACTCACAACTGCCCTCTGCAGACACCTCTAGCCTCCGAGGGCATCTGTACATACCCAGCCCTCTTCAAACACACACACACACACACACACACACACACACACACACACACACACCACACAATGAAAAAAGTAATAATAACAATGTGCTCACTGATTCACACATATCTTAGCACATGAATCCAATGTGACTATAACTACAACAAAGAAAAGTAAGCAAGGCAAAGAACATGATTCTATACTATAACATGTAATAACTCACCCAAGACTTCCTTATGTCCACAGCCATTATAAAAGATGGAAGAATATTTCATATTTGCGTGTAGCATGTCTAACTAAAACAACAGATGGATCCTAGAACCTTTGGGATATTAGGCTCTACGATTTTAGCATTTAGTGCCTTTTTTTTTTTTTTGGTACCACTCAAGTGCACATACACAAAATATTATCCCATTTATCTCTGTAATGACTACATGCTAGCCAATACAAAAAAGTTTCAATGGGTGAATAGGCTATATGTCTTTACTTGCCTATATTTTAAAACGTTCAAATTTAATATCATTATTTATCATGAATTTCACTTTGAATGAATTATTACCCACTTCTTTCCAAGTGACCGTTAAAGACTTGTTTCAGTGAGGAAGCGTATTTGGATAAGGCACTGAGCTTCAGAGCCAACTTCTGGGATGCGCGGTCACGTGACTTTAAGTGCCTAGAAGCATGACCTCAGTGCTGACCACTTTGGGTAAACCACAGACTTTGTCCAGACAGTCTGCCCACTTAGATAAACTCCAAGGGAATCATCAGACTGTTGGGAATGGCTGGAACACCAAATGACAACCTTGACTCCCAGGGATCCATGCCATCTACTGCCCAGTTAGTTAAAGGGCTACCCAGTGGACTTACTCGGTAGGAGGGATGTCTGTAGAATAAAGGTCTATGTCAGTATCGGCCAGCAAAACAGCCTTCATTCCCCTACAGCTGAGAACTTGCTTACAGAATTTGCAACAAAGGATGGACACGCATCGGTCCTTGAAAGTACAGCTGTTGGCAGACATAGTGTCCCACGTAGAACGAGGTACAGAATTTGGCAAAGGGGGAAACAAGGAAAACCGTTCGTGCTTTGGATTCCACCAGGTTAGCAACCAAATCGGGAGGTCTTGAGTTCTCTCTAAGCTCTAAAATTAGGAAGAGAGTTCTGTTTTCCGGGTGGGAAGGTAAAATTAGTATTTATTGAGTGGGAGAGAAAATTGTACTTCCTTTTGCCTTGGGTGGGGGGGAGGGAGGGAAGGGATGGAACTTGAGGTGGGGGAGGGGAGACAAATAGAGTTGAAGGGAAACTTTAAGCCAGCTTGCACTTTTCTGTGGTCTCCGAGAGTCCTCTGCTCTGCAGCTCCCGCCCCCGAATTCGGCGATTCCCCAGTTCCCGGGCCGGCTTCCCTGGAAAGCCTCGCCCCTCTGAGCACTCCCAGGGCGAGCCCCGCCCGCCCGCAGAGCGCCGCGATCCCTGCTGGGCTCCACGCGGCCCCTTCGCGGGGTTCAAGGCCCCTCGGCCCCTGGACATGCGCCCCCCGTCTCCGAGCTCGGCCGCCCGCGGGGCCCCCTGCTCGCACCACGGCTCCCTGCGTCCTCGATCCCTCGGCTCGCGCACTTGCCGCCCTCGGGGGTGGAGGGGTCTCTGCCGGCTGCGGCCGCTCCGGAGTGTGCGAGTGGTGGTGGATGGAGTGGGGGGGGGGCGAGGCTGGGTCCGCGCCGGGGTCCGTCACCGAGCACGCCGGGCTTTGCTCTTTCTTCCGCTTTCTCTGCGTTTTCTAACCCGCTGTCAGTTTGAATCGCCGGCGCCGAGCACGGATTGGGAGGACTAGATTGGGCCGCAGCCCCACATTGGAAGGCTCAGGGGCCTCTCCCCAGTAACGGTGCCGAGGCCAGATCGGCCCTCTGATTGGTCGAGCGTGGCTCGGCCTCTACGTCCATTTGGCCAGCATCCGCTCGGGCACACCCTCCTTTCCCCCCTCCCTGTGAACTTGGAAGACACACCCCGAGTTTCTTATTGGTAGGTACTCTGCGGTCCTCTACTGCTCATTGGCTAAGACGCCCTCCCTCCTTCCCCCGATCCGATTGGTCTCGTCGTCCCTTGCAAGTTTGTGTTTGGCTGTCGGGTCCATGCTACCCCGCCCATCAGTTCTACTTTAGGGTTCCACAGGCTGGGGAGGAGCTCACTCTGGGACTGCGCCTGGGCAGCCAGTGCTCGCCACACCTCCAAGTTCCGTCAGCCCCGCCCCTACTCCTGGCTTCGAAGGGATCCCTTACTCCTATTGGCCAGAGGCCCCATCGGTCGATAGAGAGCCGGTGCTGATTGGCAAGGGGGGTGGGCTCTGCTTCCCGGCGGGGTCTTGCGGAGTTGGCCGAGTCTCCTTAGGGAACCGGGGGGCCGAACTGCGTAGAAGAGGGTGGCGGGGAGGAGATCGCTAAGTGGGAAGCGGAACCTGGGGCCTGGGACCCGTCGCGGCAGAGCCAGGTAAAGGCTCCTTCCCCCTTCCCTCTCCGTTTGCCTGGCTGCTGCCCGGACTGAACAAACCCGGACTGGGCGGGTGGACACGGCGCGGATGCTGCTGCTGCTGCTGCTGCTCTCGGCGGTGCCGCCGCCCACGGTCCTCACACCGCCCTCCTGGGCCCGCGACCCTCCAGATCCCCCCAGCGCAGCCCATAATACTTCCCAGGACTGCTCATCTCCCCGCCCATCCCTGCATCGCAGCGCACTGTCCTCTCGCGGCGACACCGCCCTCCCGCAGCCCCTTTGCACACGGCTGGCCGGGTCCACCGCGGGGCCTCGCCGTAACGGTCCGCTGGCCTCGTCCCTGGTCGCCCAGCCTTGGCTGGCAGCCCAAGACCCGAAAAGATGGGGCGCCCCTCAGGGCTCGCGGGGCTCTCTCTCCGTCTGGCCCTGCAGCCTTGTCTCCCGGGGCTCGCCACCCGCTCCCATATCCAAACCTCATGCGGGTCCCCAAAGTTGCCAACACCCTGCACTTGGTGCCGCAGCCCACCGCGGCCTCTCCCGCTACTTTGCCCCCAGAGCCGTCTTCTCGCTCGGCGCCCTCTCTGGCTGTGCACGCTCGGGCCGCCCGTGCTGGCCCGTGCTCTCTCCCGACTCGGGACCCCACCTCACGCCCGCCTCCCGCTTCCTGCCCGCCCGCCCGCCCCGCGCGGCCTCAGCTAGCTCGCTCTTCCTGCGCGCGGCCCTTCCTCCAGCCGCCGGGAGTAGGCGACACTGCCTGGAGCCGCCCGTGCGCCGGCGGGGACCGGGCGGCCTAGGAGGCAGGGGCCCGCTGCAGCGCTGGAGCCCTTCCCTTCCCTTCAGCCTCCCTGCCGCCGCCTCCCGCAGCGACTGTCTCTGATGCCTCCCACCCGACTGGGATTGGGTGCGGTATTTGTGATCGCTGGGCTTGGGGTGGGGTGTGCAAAAACTATTGGGGGTGCCATTTCGAGGCACCCTCGCCCCTGCCTTGTGGGAGGCGACTGCCGCTTTCCGCCTCCCCCTATTCCCGGGTTTTCCCGGCTTAGACCCTCGCCTCTAGCCCGTTTCCTGCTTCTGCCGACCACATTGTTTTCCTGGATGTCCCGTGCGGAGCGGGCCCTTCCTGCAGCGGCCGCTCCCCCCCCGCGCTTCCCCGGCTTTGCTGCCAGGAGAAGCTAGTTACCAAAAACAAAACAACTGGGAGGAGGGTCGGGAAGGGAAGAAAAGTTGTGGCCGTCTGGTACGTCCCCTCTGGTATTGATCCATTGATCCTGTAGGTGTCTGGGAGGTGCCCTAGCGGGGGGTCAGGGGCCGCGTCGCGGGCTCGGCGGGAGAGCCCCTCTTGGATTAGCTGGGCAGGGGAGAGATTGCACAGATGCCGCAGTCCCCAGCTCTGCTTTCCCGCCGCAGTCCCCGCCCGGAGCACGCGCTGCTGCCGGCTGCTCCAAAGTGTTCTCTTTCTGCCTTAAAACAATCCCGAGGGAGCTGCTTTCTCCCTGCCTCGCCACGCCGGGTCTTTGGGCTGAACGGGCGGTGTTAGGCCAAGATGAATGAGCCAAAGCTGGACTCCGAGTGTCATCCCCGACCCCACCCCTGTTGCGATTAGGATCTGCCCTAGGACTGATCGCCCCCTCCCCCCTTTTTTTTTTGCATTTACAGGCTAGTGAACCGGAGCAAACGACTTCCGATCCACTCCGCGCTGCAGCGGCACCCTTTTGGGATTTGATTTGCAGCATCTTTGAGCTGGTACCACACACACACACACACACACACACACACACACACACACACACACACACAACCGAGAAGCACGCCTAGCCTTCCCTTGGCACCCTGAGACAATCCCACTCCCTCCCGGGGACACGACTGGGCGCGTCCACACCCCCGCATCCCTTACACCATGTTGTGCGGAAGGACTTCCACTCCCCGCCAGTGTCGTTGATGTCAGACCCCAGGCCAGCCTCAGGGCGCTGCAGTTCTGGCTAATGCTGCGGCTGTGGCTAGGGCTTTAGTACATAAGCCAGCCGCCGCTGCCGCCACCACCCCTTTCCCCGCCGGCCTCAGCGCCCACAGTCTGCATGTGTGTGTGGTAGCCGGCTACCCATCCTGCCGCCCGTGTTCCCCCGGAGCTCTGGAGACCACCGCGGGGGCTTTCTCTGCCCGTGGGAGAAGTGGCCTTGGAGAAATTGATTTCGGTGGTTGGATTTTTCTCGTGGATCTATCAATTGACAGTTCGGATTTGGAAGAAAGAAGGAAAACATGACGTCTCCAGCCAAATTCAAAAAGGATAAGGAGATCATCGCAGAGTACGATACTCAGGTCAAAGGTAAGAATTTTTTAAATTAGCATATGCTCTGTAGACTGGTGAGGAGGCATGTGTTTCCACCCCAATTTTCAGGGCGTTCGTGTCTTGGGTGGAGCAGATGGCAAGTTGACCCCAGAGGTGGTTTTCATAGGTGGGTCGGAGCCTTGGAATGCTCAACAGTGTCAGGTGCCACGGGCACTGGGAGTGGGCTTTAGGAGCATCTTTGTGGGGCTGTCCATTATTTTTGGCAGCATTTCCCCAAAGGCCCGGTGGGGGAGGGGCCGGAGGCTCTCCGGAGAGAGGAAAAAAAGCTGCAATTCGCCTTTGGGTGTCTTGAGTCAGGCTTCCTTGAAGGACAGCTGAAATCTGACAGGTGTTTATTTCAAAGGTTGAAGAAGAGTCCAGACAGAAAGGCAACCTTGAGAAGGTGTATCATTTGGAGAGACCTGGGAGAGGCGGGCTTTTTCTGGTGCACTGTATTAAAGCGTGGGGGTTTGCCACAACGCTGGATTCAGGGAGACCTTAGCCATATTGGGTGCAGCTTGTACTTGCCTGGCCCATGGTCACCCTGCATACAATCACAGGCCAGAAAGAAGACCATAGCAAGTCATTTCCATCCTCACCTAACCCTGAGGGAGTTGAGCTGTTTGGGGTTTCAGAGTGGTGCTGAACCTGGAAAATGGGAAGGCATAATTGTCTAACCCCCCTGTCCCTGTGTTGCCACCGCAGCCCCAGAATAACATGCTTCTAAAGATCCATTCCCCTTTCAGCAAAGATGTGAAGGGCTAAGGCAGAGTTGTAGACCTGGGGGAACCAAGTGCTTGCTCCCCGCGTGCTCAAATTGGCTTCTCAAATCGAAGCCCATACCCAAATAGCTTTTCCTTATCCAGCCTGCGGGTGAAGGAGCCCTAGCCTGTGTTTGTGTAGGCACTGCCCCTTCCTGACCAGTCACTGGGAAGAGCCATGTGGCTCTAGCCCATTGAGACCTTAGCTGGGAAGCAGGAGAGGTGGGTGGCCGTGAATGTTACACCACATGGTTGGAGCTCTGAGTTTTTCCTTTGTTTCAGGGTACAGAGGGAGGGGCCCCTCCTTCTTTCCCTGCACCAATGCTAGGAGACCTTTTCCTATCTTAGAGGACTTGGGAAAGGCCATGTCTCCCCTGGAATGATTGCCTTGGGTGTGGGTTAGAGGTAGAGTGTGAAATAGGTAGTCCCTTTTTTTCTTGGAAGGTTGAAAGGTAGTTTGAAGTCATCATTGTGTCTGCAGGCTTTTTTTTTTTTTTTTTTTTTTTTTAAGTATATATTATCAGTTTGGTCAATGCAGGAGGTGCTTTAAGGGACCTTCAATCCACTTGACTGCAAATATTGGTCAGTTTTATTACAAGGATGGGGTAGTTGACTGATGATAGCTCCAGTTGGATTGGAATTGAGAGAGGCATGATTTTGAGTTATGACTGAGGTCTTGGCCCCTTGTCACTGATCATAATCCCAGCCTGTTTTTGTAAACAATGGCCATTGGCCTCTATGTCCTGTCCAGATGCAATGCTTTCTGCTTTTGCAATGCCCGCCCCCACTACAGTTTTGGCCAGATATGCCATTTAAAAAATGTGTTCTATTTCTAACTGTTGCCAGAGGGAGTGATATTAACTTTGATTTTGCCAGGTGGTTCTCCAGAAGCACACAGTTTGACTAAGGCACAAAGTGTTTTTACATTTTTTTTTTGTTTGTTTGTTTTCTTTTTCTTTTTTGAAGGTTCAGGGCTGACAGGTATCAGAATTTGCTGATTTTTTTTTCCTCAAAATTAAATACTTTGTATATTCACAGATATTGCTGAGATGATGTAATGCAGTTAGCTACTTGGAGTTTCTCTTCCACCTGCAGACTACCGACTGTTTTGTTTTGTGTCACTATTTTTCCATTGACTCTATTCAGGAGTTAGAACTAGGATTTTGTAGGTGGCTGACCCCGATTACTATCTCGAGGAGGTGCTTTGGGAACCGATTTGGTTTGGTCCTCTCAGTCTACAGCTGAGGAGAACATAGAACAACTGAAGAGGTTTGTTCAAGGTCACGCAGCTAGGTGGTAGCAGATCGGAAGGTAGCATTAGTTTTATGGCTTCTGTGTCTTCTCAGTGGAAATAGCATCTGATCATGGTGGAAAAAAATCCTTAAGGCAAAAATCAGGTGATGGGTAATAGTAGTGATAGGATAATAGTCTTCTTTGGGTGCTCATTTTGTGCATCGTCGCGTCCCAATGAATGGTCTGGTGTAATTGTCACACCCCTTCAGGAAGTGTTTTGCCATTTGAGGACATGAGGAAACTGAGGCATGAGAGGGTCAAAAGCCCTTTCAAGGTCACACAATCAGAATTAGCAGCTTTACTTCCTTGTTTTATTTATTAACTGTTTATCGAATGCCGAGTGTGTGTTCTAGGACTTTATACATCAGCGAAGAAGACAGAATTCCAGACCCTTTTGGAGCTTACATTTTAGAACCATACTTCTGGCGGGAGACTTCAGAGGGCCTGAGGTCAGGGTTGTCGACGTGGCTTACTACCTGACCATCTATCAGAAATAAGAATTTCGTCTTTTTTTTTTTTTTTTTTGTAAAACATTGTGTCTTGTTTGTTTTGCCTTTTAGAAACAGGATCTCAGTGTGTAGGTCAGGCTAGTCTGGAATTGACTCTGTAGCTCAGGTTGGCCTTGGATCTGTGACAAGTCTTCTTTAGTCAGCCTTGTAAGCCTGGGCATACAGGTGTGAGCCTCTACACTCTGCCGAGCTCCAGTGTTTCATGCACTCTGTGAGACTCATCTACCTTCTTCAGGGAGCCTTCTGTCTGTCTTGCCAGCTAGTCAGGCTGCATTGGAGTGTCTACTCTCAGAGCACCAGAGTAGGAGTGGAGCACGTTCCAGTTTAAGTTTGTTGAGGAGTAACAAATGTGTCATGTGCCTGTCACTTAAATCCTTTGGCCAGGCATGGTGGCTTATGCTTGCAGTCCTAGCATGTTAGAGGCTGTGGCAGGTTTGCTGAGAATTTGAGGCCAGCCTGGACTACATAATGAATTGCAGGCTAGCCTAGAGTAAAGGGAGATCCTGTTCCAGAAACAAAATCAAATCAAATCATATCAAATCAAACCAACAAAACCAAACAACCCTCCCCCCAAACAAACCCAGACAGACCACTACCAGCAAAACTCCCTTACTCTTTGAACACTAATTTCCTTTAATGTATGAGTAGATAAACTGTCTGAAAATAGGGTTGCATGTGTCTACCTACTTCTTAGTCAGAATTGTGTGAATCAAGTAGACTCTAAATTTGGATTCTCCCCCATTTTGTGTCTCCTTAAAAGCACCTGCTTGCATGCACGCTGAGGAATTTCTGAGGTCTGAGCATCAGTCCTACCCCAGTGTGGTTGTAAGGGGCAGGAGCAATGCCCCCTTAGTCAGTCTGCTGTGTGGCTGCCTTCTTACAAACCACCATTGTTTCTGCCTTGTGGGTGTTTAGATTCCCTTGGAAAGTTCATGTCTTTCAGTGTCCAACTCACAAGCGCTAATGTTCTTAGTCTTTTCACATGACTTTTTCTTTTTCAAATTTATAAAGTGCTTTCATATACATGCATTTCTGGAAATTCTTGACAGCCCTGATGAGAGTCGTGATTAGAAACTGGTTCATTTGACCTGTAGCCTGCTGGCATCCTTGCTGGTATTTGAGCGCTGGATGGTGGTGAAGGATGGGACGTAGAATGAAGATGATGGTCTGGGTGGGTGAATTCCTAGCACTGGCCAGCATGCCCCAAGTCCTTCTTTAATTAGGTGTCAAGGGTGTTCTCCCCCCTCTATAATTTCAACTTCCTCCACCACTAAGAAGTAAAATTGTTACCATTTTTTATTTTATTTTGACACACGGCCCTCCTTCCTTCCTTCCTTTTCTTTCTTCTTTTCATTCATTCATTCTTTCTTTCTTTCTTTCTTTCTTTCTTTCTTTCTTTCTTTCTTTTTTTTTTTTTAAGATGGTGTCTCAATGTAGTCTGGCTGTCCTTGAACTCTGTATTGACCAGGCTGGCCTCAAACTCACAACGATCCATCCACAAAGACAGGGTCTTGCTATATATTTGTTGGGCTTGAACTCACAGTGATCTTCCTGCCTTAGCCTTCCAAATCTGGGATTACATTTGGAACATTCTGATAGGAAAAGCACCAGCAATTGCCAAAAACAGTGTAAGTCTTTTGGTACTCTTTGGTAGCTGGAGATGAAATTTCAACTCTAGTCATATTGTGTGTGCACTTGTGCTTGGGAATGCCAATTGGTGGAATTAAACAAGCCTGTTCTCAGGGGAGGGCTGAGACGCTTCTAGTGCATGCCAACAAAGGTCTTTTCCCTGAAGTGTCTTTGCTCCCAGCCTCCACCCCTTCCTCCCCAGGGAGACTTTAAACATGATCGGTTTGTGAAAAGCTGCTGTGAAACCCTCAAGCAGACGCTGTTGTCTTCCCTCATTTACGGAACATAGAGACTCAGCAATAAGGTGGTCTCCTAGAAGAAAATGACATTCTTGGAAAAATTCAAGCAACCAGAGTTTCAAGACCCTGAGGGACGGTGATAAAGCTAGGCGCTAGGCCATGCTGGGCAAAACAGTAGTGGTTGGAAACTGTGTTTATGAATACTCCTTAGCTTTGCTATGTCAGGCATTCTCTAGGAAGAATAGAGACAGAAATTTCCTTAGGAGAAGCCCTTTGGGATCTCATTGATTTTTGTACCTCTCAGGCTGAAAGGCAAAGATAAGCCCTTGTGAAGTTTATAGGCTATGACCTGGCTTGGTATATTTTCAGCATCAGCTGGCTCTCAGGTTCTGATTTTTAAATTCCACTGTCTGCTCCAGAAAACTGAGCTGCCTGTATGGTCCCTGTAGAGCTTCCCTTCCTTTCTTTTGGGGAGCCATGTCTACCTCACACTCTAGACTTCTGATGGCTACATTAGGAAAATACTGTACCATGCTGAAAGGAAAAACAGTTGATGTATGATTTCT